AGATGTAAGATTAGGGAGAAAATTGCCCACAAAGATAAGCTATTTCCTTAGCTTAAGAGTCCGTGGTAACTGAAAATTTACTCTTTTTAAAATCTTTTTTTGCCTTTTATCAACGTTTTTCAGAAAAAAATCCATACAGAAATGAGTTCTTTAATGCGAATGAAAGGTGTTGAGCCAAAAAAAAAAAATTGAAAAAAAATCACAAACCTGCAGAAAAATGCCAGTTTCTTCACTTTGATTATTTTGAAGAGAGCCTGTTTCCACCACGCCGCCTCACATATTACTTACACTTGTAGAGGGAAAAAAACAACCCCACTGGGGATTTGATTTATCACTCTTAGATCTATATCCAAGTTCTTGTAATACGACATGTAACAGAGGCTGTCATAAATGGACTGGACTGTATTTTGACGAGCGACTGATTTCCCCACGTTGTCTCAATAAAGACAACAACCGTTTGCTCTGTCGTCAGGGAGAGACGGGTTCCGAAGATACCACGACGCGCGTGACACTCACGTGTGCCTGGTGCACCAGTCTGTGCCTGTGGACGCCCGCTGTGAGCCGGGAGACGACACGGGAGGGCCGGTCCATCTGCAGGTCAACGTCTCCTCCAGCGACACCTACTTCCTGGTGGTCAAGTTTGGGCGGTAAGCAGAAACGTTCTTCTTTGTTGTTGTTGTTGTTGTCTGTTTGTTTTGTTTTGATTTTTATTGTTTGTTTGTTTTTAGTTTTGTTTTTTTTGGGTGGAGGAGGGTATTTTTTTTTGGGGGGGGTGTTGTTGTTGTTTCTGTTGTTGTTGTTGTTGTTTACATAACGGCCTCTATGGCGGTTTGAACTGTTATAGATTTATAAATCTAGCTATTGTGATCATCTGTATTAGACAATCACCTCCTGTACAAACGGTCACTTCCCATATCTCGATCTGGCGACGGGGGAGGGGGGGGGGGGGTTCTTTTTTTTTCTTTAAAATTTTTTTTAAAGCATACTGTGTAAGACGGTCATCTGTCTGAGACGGCCGTCTGAGATGATATCGACTGTGTAGATCTACACTGACGAAAATTTGATACCACTGTAACCACAATATCTTTAAAAACTCACCTGGAGGTGTCATCTCTGACTTACAAGTTGACGTGTGTAATGACCCTCCATTCTTCACGGCCGCGAGCTGCCGTTGCACATTCTGCTATACCCATGCGTGTCCATGTTTTAATGTTGTTCATCCAAGCTACTCTTTGTATTCCCCTGGCTCTCCTGCCCCACAGCCTTCCTTGAAGCACCTCTTTCATAATGGCCGGTCTCGTGTGTCGTTTTAAGTGGCCATAGTATTGTATTTTCCTGCATTTTATTTTATTCAGAAGGGTTTGTCTTGTATGGAGAATCTGACACTAGTGACACACTTCGCTATTTATCTATTTCCCAACTTATTCTGGCCATTCTACGGTAGCACCACATCTCAAACGCAGTTATTTATCATTCACCTCCCCCAGAATGAGATTTTCCCGCGGAAGACGTCCTTCAGAGCTCGGCGTCCTGATCAACGGCACGCTCACGCGCACGCGCTACGACATCTCACATGCTGAGCGGATGTGCGATGCGCGGGAGAAGAAAGACTGCAGTTTTCCACTCCCATGGGCTTCCCACAAAGATATCGTCATGCAGTTCGGCGCACTACGCGGAGACAACGTAAAAACATCGTTCGTGTCCAAGTGCCATCTCCGACTTCCGTTCTGGATCGGTTTGTTCGGAGGTGTACCTCTGGTAGTCAGCGCTGCGGCTTCGGTGTTTTTGGGACTTCTTTTTTGCCGGAAGAGGCGTAGGAATATGGCCAGTGCGCGACGGGTAGCGCGGAAGAAGGCGAACAAGCCGGGCGAAAGAAGTGCGTTGGTACACAACGAAGTTATCGCAGAGGACGGGGGAACAATGGCTATTCAGGACGACTAATTGATTGTCCGGCTGATGTAAATTA